GTATTTTTAATAGTCTTTATACTGTGTTTGCCTCACAGTAATGCTGTTAGGCACAGGAAGATCTGATCTTTTAGGTACTGAATGGAGTGTGCCTGGCTAAGAGATTTGTGCCTCTGTTGGCTGGGATATGCAACGGAGTGTCTTCAGCACCCTGTAAAGTGGCACACTGAGGTTTAGAAGAGTAGGAGTTGTTACAAGTCCCTGCTGTGAAATCACAGGATCAGATGGATTTTCTATTCTGAACACCTGATTGCTAATCCCAAATATTCCCAACAGAAAACTCTAGGTAGAATAATATGAAATATAGGAATCTTAATAAATTGTGTGTGGCAGGGGCAAACTTGTATTACAATGAGCATAATCTCCAAACCTAAAAATAGCATGAGAGAACTAATGCACCAGTGGTCATGTTAGCAATTGTGGAAGGAGGTAGCAATATTTTGTTTGTTGATGTTGACCAAGAATTCTCTACTGTAGCAAGATGTTTTAATAGTCAAGTGCTAGAGACTTATTTATTAATTGATTTTTGTGAGAGGAAAAAGCAATATTCAGTTTGGCACGTTCACTTGAAGAACTCTTGAGAATCCAAAGTAGAGCAGTTCAGGGGGCAGGAAGTATTGGGAGCAAAGACCTAGTAAATTAATCTGTTTCTATGTCTCCCCCAACCCACACACAAACTTTTCTTGAGGCTCTATAAGAGGAGCAGGTTTTTTTGGGTACTAGAACAAGCAAAGGCTGAGATTATACCAGCAGGCATTTAAAATAAGCACTTTATACATGTCAAAGTTACTCCTGTCCATAATGCCAGATGAAAGACTTTCCCAGTAACTTTTCCCCTTACTTGTTTGAAAAAAGTTTATAGTAGTATGGTAAGATTGTGGATCCCTCTGGCTTCCAATCTTGTTCTTCCACTGCAATCTATAATGAATGTGGACAAAATTACTTACAATTGCCTAGACTTAGTTTTCCTAACTGTAAACTAGGGTTAACAATACCTGGAAGAGTTGCCATGAGATCTAAATGGGATAACATGAATAGTGCTTGGTATGTTGGGGCTAAATACAAGCAGTCTCTTGTTGTCTTTTTGGAAGGTTTGAACTAGATGAAAAGAAATGAACAATATCATTCATTGATGAACTTATATTCACTGACATTATAAGAGGATCTTTTAAGGACTAACAGAACTGCTCAGTCAATCTCTGATTCTAGAAATCTGCATTTCTAGGATAATTTTGATGCCCAACTAAGTTTTAGATCACTGAGCTACATAAATGCTTGAAATTCTATTTTATTATTTCCCATCACCATTTTGAAATCAATTTAGTTAGATAGCTCATATTAAACAGTGTTAGAGTCATCTATACTTAGCTTAAAAATATTTTCAGTCATGGGCTTGGTTTTGGAGGACATTTGTATTGCTTTTACCAAATTTCACTTCCCTAGCACTAATACAGCCTGATTTATGTGATAAAATTCATTCCACAGATATTTATCACATACTGTATGCCAGACACAGAGCTAGGTGCTTCTAATCAGTTAAAAAAAAAAAAGCAAACCCCTGATTTTGTGGAGCTTAGTAAATTTGAGCTTGTTGGGTGTTTTAGCCTTTGCTGCAATTATAATTTTAAGTGTAATAAGTGTCCAAACAGACTGGGTGCAGTGGTACACTCCTGCAGTCTGGTACTGGTACTGCAGTCTGGCAGGAGGATTACAACTTCAAGGCCAATCTCAGAAACTCTGTGATATCCTGTCTCAAAATAAAAATTAAAAGGGCTGGGGATGTAGCTCAGTGGTAGAGTACCCCTGAGTTCAATCCCCAGTGCCACAGAATACAAGATAGATAGATAGATAGATAGATAGATAGATAGATAGATAGGTGGATAACCAAACAGAAAGTTTGCTAGCATACATAGTTACAATTTGTTTTTATTATTTATAACATTTTATTATTGAAAGTTTCCAAATACATAGAAAAATTGTCAGGATTTTACAGTGAACATCAACATACCAGTAGCTAGATTCACTCAGTAACATTTTATTATACTTGCTTTATTGCATTTATATCCATTCATTAGCCAATTTTATTGTTTGTGATGTATTACAAAGTAAATTGAAGACACTAGCATACTTYACCTAAATACTTCAGATACAGAGTTTAATATTTGTTAACATTTTTTTTCTAATTTTTTGTAGATATAGATGGATAGTATGCCTTTATTATATTTATTTTTGTATGTAGTGCTAAGGATCGAACCCAGTGCCTYACACATGCTAGGCAAGTGCTTTGCCACTGAGCCACAACCCCAGCCCTGTTAATATTTTTTGATGTAATGTTTACATTAAAATGTACATTTTARAAATATATGAGTTCACAGAAATTTTGCAAAAACACATGTATCAAGATGTAGAACACGGAATGTTTTCTGATTTTGCTTCCCAGTGAATCTCTCCCCCAAACCACAGATGTTTGAGTTTTTTACCACCCTGTTTGAGTTTTTTACTCAATAATTTTGATATTCTAATATCATGTAAATGAATTCATGCCATGTTTGCCTGTGTAAGATGACTTTTACTCTGCATACTATTTGTGGATTTATCCATGCTGTCTCATGTATCAGTAACTTGTTCTTTTGTGTTGCAGGTTTCATTGCTTATCATAGTTTTCCTGTTCTTCTCTTGATGGACACTGGGATTGTTTGTAGTTTGGCTATTTGAGGAATGTAGCAGTGAGCATTCTTGCATAAGTCTTTTGTGAACATATTTTCATTTACAGTAAATAAACAGCTGCTTGTAGAACTGTCCTTACAACTTTTAGAAGAAACTGCCAAACCTTTTCCCAGCACACTTGTGTCATTTATCTTCCCATTGACAGTGTTGCTCTGGGTGCTCCATTCCTCGCCCACATTTGATGGTGGCTGTCTCTGTATCCTTTTGATCAATGTGTAATGGTATCTTCTTGTGGTTTTAATTTGTATTTACTTGATAATGCATGTTGTTGAGCACTTTTTCATGTGCTTATTGGCCACGTGTACATATATGTTTTTGATTCCATAAGTTCTTTGCCCATTTATAATTGCGTGGTTTATCTTTCTGTTGTCACAGTTAGTTCTATATCCTAGATACCAGTCAGTTGTCAGTTATATTTTGCCAATCTTTCCTCCAAGTCTAATCAGTTGTCAATTATATTTTGCCAATGTTTTCCCAAGTCTATATCTTGCTTCTTTATTTTTTTAATTGCGTCTCTTGATGAGTAGAAACTTTAAATTCGATAAGGTCTAATTTAAAGGTCCTTTTTTCTTTCCCTGTATGATTATTGTCTTCTGTGACCTGGGAACATATTCTCCTTTGCTTTCCTCTAAAAGGCTTTTAGTTTTAGTTTTTATGTTAGGTATTCATTTTCTATTTTATTTCCATTTTCACTATTTTTTAAAATTGATGTTATTATTTTTTAAATACATAACAACAGTGGAATGCATTACAATCCTTATTACACATATAGAGCACAATTTTTTTATATATCTCTGTATATAAAGTATGTTCACGTCATTTTATGCCATTATATGTGTCCTTTTTTTTGCATTACAATTCTTGATACACATATATACACAATTTTTCATATCTCTGTTTGTATATAAGGTATGTTGACACCCAATTCAAGTCTTCATACATGTACTTTGTATAATGATGACCTTCACATTCCACCATCCTTGCTAATCCCCTTTTTATTTTCACTAATTTTTGAGACTAAGTCTTATGGACAATGTCAAATAAAATCCAGTTAAATTACTTTTACATATGAACAAATAAGTGAAATTTAATCAGGTTATGAGAATCCTATTAGAATATTTTTCCTGACAAAATGTGCAAATATGGAATTATTGAAAATCTCACCATGTTTCGTAATTAAGGTTTGTTTTCAATCATATAGTTTAAGAATAATAAAGGTTCCTGTGATAAAAGAGCAACCTTGACTCAAAGAGGTGTTTTAACATACATTGGTTCAGGTACTGGGAAAGGCACTGTTCTGTGCATTTGGGTATAATGGCAAATGTTGGGCAAGAACAGCAGCACCCACGTCCTTTGTGTCAGTCTCCTTGCACAGGGTCCCCAGGAGGAAAGTGAGAGTAGAAACCATGTCCTCCTTTGTTACCTTATTCTTCATGTTCCCAGTTGACCTCACACTGGTTCTCCTAAATTTCACCTTCAATTCTGATAGAAGATGACCGTGGCTGCATTCCTTCAAGCAAAGTTGTCACTTGTGTTCCTTTATGAGGTTTGGACCCCAGCTGCTGTGTCAGTCTGACACACTGATGAATGAACAGGCCATCTGATATTCTGTCCAATGGAGGGCACTGGCTCATTTAAACACTCACATAACATTTGCTCTGAAAATGGATTTTCTGAAACTTTCCACTTAAATAACTGTGGATTAACTTTCAGTGAGGCCAGCATAGTGGAAGCTAAGCAGAGCGTATAAGCCCAGACTGTTGGGCCGCTGCACATTGTCACAGTTCTGCCTTAATTCACTGCATATTGCTTCCTTTGAAATTTGCAACCAGATTCTAAATTATTCACCTTTTAACATCTGGAAATGTTGAAAGCATTTAGCCATTTGTTCACCTTGTTTGAACAGTAYATCCAGGTGGGGTAAGAATATATTTGCCAAAGCAAAGAATACGCCTCTAAAAGATTAGACTGGTAAGTTCAAAATGGTCTCTGTTGTAGCGTAGACGAGGCATAGAATGTTAGTGATCATATTTTTATGCAGTCCTACTACTGATAGCATTCCATGTTGTAATGTCTCCCCCAAAAGATTTTTTTTTATGAACTTAAAAAAGTTTCTAATATAAAGGTTATATTATTGCCAAATGCTAGTTTGAAAGAACCAAATAGGATTTTGAAGATTACCCATCTTTGACAATGCCTTAAATTTTTATCTCCTTATCCATTCCTCATTGCTTTCTTTCTCAAGACATTATGGTTTATTGTGTCTCCACTAGGTACCTTGCATGTGATTTACRCAGTGAATGGCCCTGCTTTTGGAGCAAGTTAATGATATAATATCCCCATTTATATTCAGAGCAGTCAACACTTCCTAGCTCTCAGAATAATAAAAGCACCTGCATTTAATATACATGGAAGAATGGGAAGGAAAATAGCAGATAAGGCACAATCAGGTAAGTGTAATCAGATAAAATATCACAATATTATAGTAGATCAGCATCTGGTAATGACTTGAATTTTGAAAGACTGACAAACAGCGTGGCCTAAAGCAGCCAGGCGTACCTCATTCAGAGCAACTCTTCCCAGAGCTGATTGCTCCTCTCATGTGTTTTCTGGCAGATTAAGCAGGTAGAGTTTCTTATTTTAACTCTTCTAGAACTACACTGTGCCATTGGAAAAACACTGGCAATGTTCCTTTTAAGCCCAGCCTGGAAACAAAAACAAATGACATGTCTAAAAGTAAACTTTGTACTTGCAGCAGTTATCTCAAATTGATCCAAATCAATTTTATTAAAAAGCAAATTTTGCAGTACTAGGCAGAGCTTTCATTTATATCTTTGTACTTGCCTGCATGGCATGAACATTTTATTCTTTTTTTTTTTAATAGCAGGGGAAAACTGTTAGGTTATTAGAAACTGATTGCCCTCTGAGAGCATCTTCACTTTTGACCATTGGCTGCTGGTAAACCTAGCTGTGTATTTTCAGCTTTGCATGAGTCCTAATGTACAGAACCATATGGAGACAAGTAGAAAGCTTCAAATTTGCCAAAGTAAGAAGTGCACAAACCCAGTTTGTAGATGAAATTTAGCAGTTTTCTTTCTTTTAAGTTACTCTTTGTTGGAAGCCAGTGACCTCTTCATTTAATTCATTTCAGCTTACCAGGTGCTGGGGAGGATCGAATGTGGAAGTTGCAAGAAGTGAAGCAGGCCCAGGTGCAGAAGGGCTATAGTACACATACAGCCAGCTGACAGTCTGCCCCAGCATTGGCATCCCCAACCACAGGAGGGCCCAGCTCCTTCGTGGAGGGATCAGAAAGCACTGGATCTTATCTGCTATAATCGGAACAGGATGTTTTATGCCGAAAATTGAACTGACAGCTCTATCTACTGAGAAGGCTTTTGTTCACTCTCTTGTTCCTCAAATTGTGTGCTGTTTTGTTTTGTTTTAAGGGTGGCAGCCCTTGGCTTTGGCCAACCAGTGTTAAATGAACTTCCACAAATATGATTATGAATGAAATGAAATAACTGTCCATTGCATTTGGAAATACTCTATTTCTGTGGAAATGGCTTTTCTCAAAGTACCTTTTTCTATCCCCCTGCCTTAACTTAAACTGCCATAACAAAATGCTATAGACCAGGTGGCTTAAATGACAGAAACTTATTTTCTTACAGTTCTGGAGGCTGAAATCTGAGATCAGAGTGACAGAATGGTTGGATTCTGGTGACAGCCTTATTCCTGTCTTAGAGACAATGTTCATTTCACTGTGTGCTCACATGACTTCTTCTTTGGGTATGTGCAGAGACAGAGGAAACCAACACTTTGATGTCCATGTATTAACCCCATCATGAGGGTCCCACCATGTTGACCTTATCTAAATCTAATTACTTCTGAAAGGTCCCATCTCCAAATGCCACATTAGCAGTTATGACTTCAACAAATAAATTTGTGTGGTGGGGAATGTTTATAATTTAGTCTATAGTATCACCCAATTGTTTTATCATAGCAAAGTTAATAAGGYTGAGACAAAGAGAACTGTCTTCAAAATGTTGACAAGACAGCCTTGGCAACTAAGCCAGACCTTGTCTCAAAAAAAAAAAAAAAGTGTGTGGGGGTGCTGGGGATATAACTCAGTGATAGGGTGCTCCTGGGTCAATCATTGGTACTAAAAAAATCAAAATAAAAATATTTTCAAAAGTATTGACATGAAGAGTATTAGAATATTAGTAGTTCAGTCCTGTGTTAGAGAGCTTTGAGTTGTTGTGACCAATATGCCAAACAAGAACAACTTAGAGAAGGAAAAATTAATTTTGGTTCATGGAGGTTCAGTTCATGGTTAGCAGCTGCATAGCTCTGGGCCTAAGGAGAAGCAGCACATCATAGTGGAAAGGTGAGACTGAGGAAAACTGCTTATTTCAGAAAGCAGAGAGAACTTGAGTACAAGGATCCAAGGGCACATCCCCAGTGACTTCCTCCAGCCATGCCTACCACCCATTGATGCATTCAAATTATTAATCTCAAATGGATTAATCCTCTGTTTAAATTACAGCTATCATAATTTGATAATTTTACCTCTGAACATTCCTGTATTATTTCACACATGAGCTTTCCTGGGGACACCTCACATGCAAACTATAACAGGTCCATAATGGAGCAAATATCAGTTGATTGAGAGTGTTAATAGCCATGTGCTTTGTCCTTTCTCACCCATGCCCACACCCACACTCATGAAGCCCTACTGTACCTACTGTAGGTTTATATAGGATGGGGTCAATCACAGAAAGTGTCTGTGGCAGAAATTAAATGGAAAAATAACAACTTTCAGGATGCTTGTAGTGTCAGCAGTCTCTTGTGTTTTCTATCCTTGCAGTAACATAGACTAATCACTGATTTCAGAATGATAAATTAACCTACAGGGAGCAAATTCATTACCTAGGAAATTTTCAGTAATATACTGAATACCGAGGTTGGAAAAGAACTGATTTTCAGAAGATTTCTAATAACAGAAGTAGAAAGCACAAAGGAGTTTGTGGAGAATTGTGGGTTAATTACAACACCCTGTTTCCCAAGCATTTCATTTTGTATAATGTTTGCTTTTGGAAGATGGACTGAGATTTACGTTTTACAATTGAAATACTGAGCTTCTTCAAGGTCATGAGATAAGATTGAGATTATCAATTTAAGTATGAATTGCACAATATTGAAAATGCCTTTCAATATTGAAAGTTGAAAATGCCTCTCCCAATAGCTTTTTGTTTTATTTTTGCATTTTTGTTGTAGCCTATAAGGAACAATCAAAGAAGCCTGTTGTTATTATTTTAACTTGTCATTTTGTGAATCTGGGCTATGAAAAGCAATGCTGGCCATGTTAGAAAGAGATGTATCACTCTCTGATTTATGATAGGCAGCTTAGATAAAGCATGATCCAAGTTATTTTAACTTCTAAATTGAAAACCTTTTTTCTGCTTGAAGCCACATTAAGAAGTATTTCATAAATAGTGATGGCATTGATGTAATCAACCAGGTTTTTTTCTGGTTCTGCCTGAATTCCTCACCCTTTCATCAGAGCCCTTTTCTTGTGGGACTATGATGCTATAATCAGGAGTAACAGAACTGTCTGAAGTGTGGCCTGAACTTCCATTCATCCTGAGTTTTTAGTTATAGATGTACTGTCTGTAGATGGGGGTGAAGCATAAATCTTTCTAACTTAAGGCTGTGGCATATACATTTGCCATCACCAAACTATTTTGGATGTATGAGGTTCTGGTCTCTTAGAAATGTTAGTTGGGAAAAAAATTCAGAACAATAGAAGGATTGGGGAGAACTATAGATGTGAGTACTCTTGCCATTAAAGACAATAAGAATCATCATCCCGATAGAATCTGTGATTACTTCCCAAGGCAGCAAATGTTGTTCTTTTCCTCTGTATATAATTTGTGTTGAAGATTTTAGGTGACTAAAACAACAACAAAACTGAAAACAAAAACAATATTTCTTAGTTACCTTTTCAATTATATTTTGAGTCCTTTACTCTCACCAAAGGAAATACCCAAGTCCACCTTTGTTGAATGCATTGCCCCAAAATAAACTTGGTACATGTCAAGCTTCTGGAATTAGAAAAAATTCAATCTTTTGGTGCACCAGTTCTTGCTGCCTGTTCATTGGGGGTCATTTCACTTTTTGCTTTAGCTTTCTCGTTTTAAAAGTAGGAGTTTCTCATGCCATACGACATGTCTTGATTTTTGCTTTGAAAGATAGATCAGTTCTCTCTGTAATAACTGAATGGGGGTTTCTAATGTTCATTACCACCAGAAAGTTGCTAACCTCCAAAAAGCTTCGAGAGAGGCCGAGGTATCAAAGCTCACTTGTGAAACCAGCAGGGAAGCCCTTCCGAAGTCTGCAGATTGTGAATGTTGCCTGTATATGGCAGGTGTCTCCGGCCTGAAATATGGTGGCTGAGAAGTTAGYCTTGGGCCAGGCTAAATCTAGGGGGGRAAAAAAAGATAAAATATTCATTAAAAATAAAATGAATATATTATTTTATGCCAGTTTTAATACTTTACCCATTTCTTAGCTTAATTCTAGATATCAGAAAATTTTGTCATGATGTGATGGGCACATAAATTGTTCAATATTTCTATAAAAACATTATAAAAATACATACATAAGTAGATGTCCAAGGTACTTTGTTGGAGATGAGAAATTATTCAGTATCAAAAATGATTAGTGGAGAAAAATCATCTTAAAATATAGTAACTTTGCTGAATAATGAGTGTTACAATTAACATATTCTACAAATCTATCAATTCTGTGGCTTCACATGTCCTTGTTCCTCTCCAAAATTAATAATGACAGACACCAAGACCCTATTAATATTTTAATAATCTAATAGGCACAGGCAAGCATGTAGCAGAGAAGAATGTCAATCAGTGGCCAGAGCTATTGAGACATCTCAGGAGACTTCCAGGTGGGTGAGCTAAGTCCTCATAATTCTTTTCTTCATTCTTCCTGGGTTCATTTTCCTAGCATCATCCAGTTTCAGCAGCTGTTCTAATTTTGAGCAGAAGAATGATGTGCTTATAAAAGAAAAACTGTGGGCTGGGGCTATAGCTCAGTGACAGAGCTGCTTGCCTAGCATATGTGAAGCATGGGGTTTGATCCTCAGCGCCACATAAAAATAAACAAATAAAATAAAGGTTTTCTGCCCATCTACAACTACAAAAAAAATTTTTAAAAAGACAGATCTCACAAGAATATTTAGGATTCATTATGTCCACTGTATATTTTAAGAAATACTAATGTTCATGTCAGTTTGTATCTTTAAATGCTGTCATCTGGAAAATAATAGGAGCTTTTATAAATAATATATATTTGGGAGTTTGAAGAAATAGATTTTCTCTGATTTTAGCATGAGCAGTCTCCTTGCTCTAATCATTTCCAAATTCTTCTTCACTACAAATTATGTAACATGTATAGACTACTATGGATTCTAGAAAGAATAAAACTCAATGAAAGGAGGAAAWAAACCAGTGACCAACACATATAAAGTGCTTAGGGTAGTGCCCCACCCAAAGAAGGTCCTTCACAATGTTAGCTTCCTGTTCTTTTTGCTTCTGAGAGGCTCATTTCCACAGGAAATGATGCTTGACTTTCCTATGTTTCACACAATCTATTTTGCAGCTCTCATAAAATTTTCCTGAGTTTGGAGTTGAAGATTTATTAATAGTTCCATCTTGCAAGAACATGCCCATATAATTTGTTGCCAATGCAGATTGTTCTTCAGAGGAGGAAGGTCCCTGCTGGGGGTTATGTCTGGATGGTTTTGAAGGATCATTTGTTGGAAACCACACAGGACCAGAGAGATCACACTACAGAGACTGAATTTCAAATCTAAATACCACTACTTGTCGGAGACCAGCTCCAACAGGGGGTCTCAGGAGAAGAACGGATGGTGAGGAGTCGGCGAAAGAGGGGGTGGAGAAACAACACAGACACCAAAGTGAAGGTGTTGATCCCAATCTTTATTTGTGAAGTTGATCATATATACTTTTCATTTTGGCAGGCTTACAGTACTTTGTGGTTACAAAACAGGAATCATTATTCAAAGAAACAAAATATTACATAGTTACAATTAGAATAGAAGAA